GGGTCGCTATGAGTCGGGGCCAACTCGACGGCATATAACAACAACAACAACAACAAGTATCCCCTTGTTCTGTTCGAATGACAGCCTCTCTCGATCCATGTACAGGTCCCTCATTAGTACACTTAAGTATACTCCCAGTCTTTTGTCAGCCTCATGATCTTTGCTATACCTGAATATTGAATATTTGAATATTTAAAGCAACATAATTTGTTATGATCCACACAATTGAATGCTTTTGAATAGTCAATAAAACATAAATAGAGTTCTGGTAAGATGGCAGAATAGGCAGACAGACTGCACAGACCCTCTTCAACAAAGAAAAGGGGAGAAAATTAACACAGATACAGAAGATAATCCTGGAGCCCTGAGCTTTGAAGAGAAGGATATAGAAGTGGACTAAACCCCAACTAGTAAGATAACTTGCATGTAAACACCAAAAAAGGAGGCATATGAAGCTGTGGTATGTCAGCAATTTTGATGTCATGGACAGCTTGGATATTACCAAGTGGTTTTAGGACCTACGACTTAACCTAAAAATGGGCCCTGCTAGCCAGAGGCTGCATGAAGGACTGCACTGGTGGCTGGTGAATAAAAGGGGAAGCGGTGAAAAGGAAGAGGAAGGCTGGCTGAGCTGTGGACTTCTGCCTGCCTGGAGGGTGCAGCTATTTTGAATGTTTACAAGTAGTTTGACCATTTTCAATATTTAAAGCAACAGCATTCTCCCAGATTCCAGGGACTTAAGAATAGGCTTCACTAGCCAGGTAACACAAGGACATTCTGGACTACAAAGGTGCAACATTCCCCTTGTTACTCTTATATCACACATCCTCTTGATGAACAGAGGTGCAGCCAGCCCTCACTCCCACCCACCTTCTGGGCTGGGAGGAATCATCCCAGTCTGTGTGCTTGCATGGAGCCTGTGTACTCTGCCCTGCCCAGATTTTATTTATTTGTTTTACTTTGTTTTTGTCTGTTTTAAAACTATTATTATTATTATTATTATTATTAATTATTATTGTCCTTTTCATTCTTCTTCTTTATTCTTCCTTTCCTAGGTTCTAGTTTTCAGCTATTTCTCTCTTCTCTGTTCCTGGTTCTAATTTTTGTTTTGTGCTCATGGTTAACCCTAATCCTTGTTTTCCTTTTTGTGTTTTTCCCATTTTTTTTCTTCATTATTCTCGTACTCTACCTTTTTTCTCTTATTGCCCTCTCCCCAGATATTGCAGCATTTTTTTTTCTTTTTTTTTTTGTTATTGTTCCACTTCGAATACATGGTATATTTTTTGTCCATTTGCTTTTACTTTTTGATGGTAATTCAATTGTTATTTTTGTCAAACTGAGTGGAAGACAGCAACAGTACCCATATGACGCAACTACACCTACACATCCTGCAGCATCACTTACTGAGAGCCACTGCTTTCTTCCCCACCAACTGGCCAATGTTAAACAACCACCAAGAAAAGCCTGACTCACCTTTAGCTGCTCTTCACAAAGAGTGAACAGAGATCTAAATACAACAACATCACAATGTCTAGGAGAAAACAGACTATCACCATCCACATAAAGAAGCAAGATAAAGTGGTAGAAACAAGGGAGCAGGATGCAGACCCAGAACACATCCCTGAATAAGCAGCAGCTTTGAAACTCCTTGCTAAGGAATTCAAAAGAGTTATATTTTGGTGTCTTCAAAGGAATGAGAGATAATCAAGGAAAACACTGACAAAATTAAGGAAAACAAAAACAAAATCCTAGAACAAATTTAGAAGAAAATACAAGAACAAAATGACAAAATAAATGAAAAATTAGGAATGATACAAAATCTACAGATAGAAATCTAGAAGATTAATACTAAATTTTCAAAAATAGATGACACATT